ACAAAATAGGCAGTTTACAGTCCATTTATTGAAAGTAGAGGATTATTTGTTTGCTAAACTAATTTCTTTTTTTCTTTCTCTCTCTTTTTTTTTTAAGAGACAGGATCTCACTGTGTTGCCCAGGTTGGGCTTGAATTCCTGACCTCAAGCCATCCTCCCAGCTTGGCCTCCCAAAGTGCTGGGATTACAGGCATGAGCCACCACACTCAACCCCTTACACTAATTTCTAATGAAAGATCCCTCTGTTTACAAGAAGCACCATGTGTCAGCCACTGGTCTGTGGAGATGAGAGCTGTGGCCTCAATTCCCAAGTGTTTCCATCATTTGGGGGGTGAAGTAGACTGTCAACTCTATAATAAGCTTGGGAAAAGGTGACTATTATTAGGAAAGCTCTGTGGCCAAAGGCATTTTTTTTATAATTCCTAGAAACATAAAGAACAAAGAAGGAAGAAAAAAATGAAATAAGAAAGAAGGTTCCAGTCTGGCATGTAAGGCCCTTGGAAGTAACCACTCTGCCCCAGCAACAAATAGAAATCTGAACAAACTAAAAAGTCAGCAATTCTTCTTAGATCTGTTGGAGAAGAGGGGTTACTGCACAAACTACTGCCTTCAAAATTAGAAAGTCTAGGGCATAAAAGATTGAGACCCAGTCATTGGACTATGGAATGTTTCCCCTCCCCACATTCCTTACCACCACACCACTAAAGGTCTTTCTCTTTCCTTTTTCTTGAGACAGGGTCTCACTCTGACTCCCAGGCTGAAGTGAAGTGGCACAGTCCTGGCCACTTGGGAGGCTGAGGTAAGAGAATTGCTTGAGCCTGGGAGGTTGAGGTGGCAGTAAGCCATATCCATGTCACTGCACTCCAGCTTGAGGAACAGAGTGAGACCCTGTCGCAAGAAAAAAGAGAGAGAGAGAGTTTTGCCATGTTGCCCAGGCTGGTCTCGAGCTCCTGAGCTCAAGGGATCAACCTGCCTTGATCTCCTAAAGTGCTGGCATCCCAGGTGTAAGCCACTTAAGATTTTTTTCGTCTCTACAAAATATTGAGATTTCAACCAAAAAAGCACAAAGCATACTAAAGGTAAAAAAAAAAAAAAAAAAGTTTGAAGAGACTGAATGAGCATGAGAATCAGAGTCAGATAGGGCACAAATGTTGGAATTATCACACCAGGAATTTAAAACTATGATTAATATGCTAAGGCCGCTAATGGAAAAAGTAGACAATATATAAGAACAGGTAGATAATGTAAGTTAGGAGATGAAAAGTCTAAGAAAGAATCACAAAAAAGTGCTAGAGATCAAAAACACTGTAAAAAAAATAAAGAATGCCTTTGATGGGCTCGTTAGTAGACTGGACACAGCTAAGGAATGAATCTCTGAGCTTGAGGATATAAAAATAAAAAATTCCAGGACTGAAAAACAAAGACAGAAAACACTAAAGCAAACAAACGAAAACAAAATAGAACAGAATACCCAAGAATTGTGGGACAATTACAACAGGAATAACACACATATAAGCCAGAAGAAGAAACAGAAAGAAAGAGAAGCAATATTTGAAGCTAAAGTACTAATATGCTCCTAAATCTGATGTCAGACACCAACCCACACATCCAGGAAGTCCAGAGAACACCAAATGGGATAAACACACCAACACACACACACACACACACACACACACACACACTACATTTAGGCTTATCATATTCAAATGTCAGAAAATCAAACAGAAAAAAGTATATATTGAAAGAAGACAGGGGCCAGGCACGGTGGCTCACGCCTGTAACCTCAGGCTTTGGGAGTCCAAAGCAGGCAGATGATCACAAGGTCAGGAGATCGAGACCATCCTGGTTAACATGATGAAACCTCATCTCTACTAAAAATACAAAAAATTAGCCAGGTGTGGTGGCTCGCACCTGTAGTCCCAGCAAGATTTCAGGATATAAGGTTAATGTGCAAAAGTCTATGACTTTCCTACATACCAGCAATGAACAAATAAAATGTGAAATTAAAAGCATATGACCAGGCACGATGACTCACGTCTGTAATCCTAGCACTTTGGGAGGCTGAGGCAGGTGGATCACAAGGTCAGGAGATCGAGACCGTCCTGGCTAACACAGTGAAACCCTGTCTTTACTCTGTTTCTTCTTCTGGTTTATATGCATGTTATACCTGTTGTAACTGTCCCACAGTTCTTGGGCATTCTGTTCTATTTTGTTTTTGTTTGTTTGTTTTAGTCTTTTTTATCTTTGTTTTTCAGTCCTGGAGGTTTTTTATTTTTATATCTTCAAAAATACAAAAAATAATTAGCTGGGCATGGTGCCGTGTGCCTGTGGGTCCCAGCTACTCAGGAGGCTGAGGCAGGAGAATTGCTTGAACCCAGGAGGCAGAGGTTGAAGTGAGCTGAGATTGCACCTCAAGACTACACTCCAGCCTGGGTGACAGAGTGAGACTCCATCTAAAAAAAAAAAAAAGTTACATTTCCTCAGTGTAAATTATCTTTTACTCCTACTTATATTTATAAATACAATAAAGTCCATACAGAAAAGAAAAGAGAGAGCTCATCCACTTCAGCTTCATCACCTTCTCTCCAGGATTCTGAACTTGGCTGGCCTCTCCCAAAAAAATAAACTGAAGAATTAAGAAAATCCATCTCAGGCCGGGCGCGGTGGCTCACGCCTGTAATCCCAGCACTTTGGGAGGCCGAGGCGGGTGGATCACGAGGTCAAGAGATCGAGACCATCCTGGTCAACATGGTGAAACCCCGTCTCTACTAAAAATACAAAAAATTAGCTGGGCATGGTGATGCGTGCCTGTAATCCCAGCTACTCAGGATGCTGAGGCAGGAGAATTGCCTGAACCCAGGAGGCGGAGGTTGCAGTGAGCCGAGATCGCGCCATTGCACTCCAGCCTGGGTAACAAGAGCGAAACTCCGTCTCAAAAAAAAAAAAAAAAGAAAATCCATCTCACCTAAAAACTGCTGTATCTCCCTCAACAATACAAAGGCTTCTCTTGCATGGAAGGTACAGAAAAAAGGAAATGGTGAAAATTGTATTTCTGACTTTGCAAATGCAAATAAGAAGCAGTGGATGGTCTGAAGGTAATGAGTTATCCCAATGGATTGTTCACAGTCAGTTACAGATTGAACTTGTTCTACTCTTTTCCCCCTTCTCACTATTGCACTTAACAGGAAAGAGGGAAGGGAAGGGAGGTGGAGGGGAAGGGGAAGGGGAAGGGGAAAGGGAAGGGAAGGGAAAAAGGAAGGAAGAGAGGGAGGAGAAAGAAAGAAAGAAGAAAAAGAAAAGAAAGAAAGAAAGAAGAAAGAAAGAAAGAAAAATTTTTAAAAAGAAGTAGCTGCCATTGGCCAAATAATTCTATTTTTTTTATTTTTAGAGACAGAGTCTCACTCTGTTGCCCAAGCTGGAATGCAGTGGCATGATCTTGGCTCACTGCAGCCTCAACCTTCCAGTCAAGTGATCCTCCCAAGTAGTTGGGACCACAGGCATCCCCCACCACACCTGGCTAATTTTTTTTTTTTTTTTTTGAGAAACAGGGTTTCATCATGTTCCCCAGGCTGGTCTTGAACTCTTGAGCTTAAGTGATTCCCTACCTTGGCCTCCCAAATTGCTGGGATTATAAGCATGAGCCACCATGCCTGGCCCCAAATTATTCTAAAATAATGGTTCTTAACCCTGGCTGCACATTGCACTCACCATGGGAGTTTTAAAAATATTGATTCCTGAATCCTACCCACAGAGATTCTGGTTTTATTATAATTGGAGGGTCCTGGACACGATGGTTTTTAAGCCTCTCAGATGGCTTTAATATGTAGCACAGGTTAAGAACCCTGCTCTAGTTTGGCATAGAGTTCTAAGCACCCATACATTGATCCTAAGCATAGTCTTCTGAATAAATGGCTGATCACTGACAAGAAAAAGATATCAGCTTGAAAGAAGCATTTAGTAAAAATCCAGGTAGGTTGATTTGCTCTCATGGTATGGCTGTAGTACAGTAACATCAGTATCTAAACCCACAGGAGATGTAAAACTGGGGCAGAGGGATTCAGTCATTATTAACACAAAGAATGGAACAAAGGAAGAAACAAGCATGTGAGCTCAACTCGGACGCTCTCCCACAAACCTTGGGGGAATTTTCTCTGTAATGGAAACAGTTGACTATTGGGAGCAGTGAGTAAGCAAGTGTCATCCTTTGTTCCAGAACTGAGAAAAATCCACAGTAAATATCCATTTCATGTTCACAGCGTCTGGGAAATGTTGATCCCACAGTGGTTTTTCATAGAACAAAATTAAAATCAATACAATATTGATTTTTGTCTTTGTAAAATATATCACCAAATATTTGTATACGACTTTGAAATGTCAAAGGTATTAAAACAATGAAGTACACCCTCCTTTTTTGGTAAGATGGGGGCAACTCAAGGTTACAAATGATTCCTCCTCTGGACCGTTTTCCACACTGTGACAGAAGGGCTTTCTAAACTGCAGTTCTGATTCGGTCCCTTCTCTGCTCCACATCCTCTGTCAGTTCCCTATGGCTTCCTTACAGAGCCTCCATGCCCACTCCTCAGCCTTCCCTCCCTCTGCCCCCTCCTACCACCCTGTGCTCTAGCCGCATGCAGCTCCTCAGACAGCACTGCTGTGTCTTGCCTCTTAGCTTTTGTCTGCGCTTCTCCCTCTACCAGGATGGCTTCTTTCATGTGCCCCAGTCCTCCCGGTTTTGGAAACACTTGTCACATTTTTCAAGATTTAGTTCAAAGTAACTTCAACTATGAACTTTTCTCTGACCTATCCATATGACCACTCCCTCCTTTGCTCACTCATTCCCACTAACATGACATCGTACACTTGATATATTTACATGTTTACCTGTCAAATTTTCCTTCTACACTCTAAGCCCTTTGATGTCAGAGACTGTATTTTATCCATTTATATGCCCAGTACTTATAAAGGTGTTTGGTATAAAGTAAGTATTCTCTAAGTTTATTTTATGAATCGAATTTAACTGAATGTATTGAATGAATATTTTATCTCTCCATAAATAATCTCCCTCTCCATCTGCCTCTCTGTCAACACAAATATACATACACACCCCAGGAGTGATGAAAGAAAAAAGCATCCAGATTGGAACAGCTCTTGTGATAGTCCCATGATCGGTAGGGCTGTCTGTCTTACCATTGATGTTCTGTGCCCAGTGACTGAAGGCAGAGGTGAGGAGCTGTTTTCCCGGTGAGGAAAATCCAAGCAGGAGCTATTCTGAGAACTAGCGCTCTCTGAGTCACTGTGCAGATGTCGCTTTTCAGACAGCAATCTGGACAGAAAGCTGCCCTTGCGACTGCCTGGGTGAGATCTGTCTATCCAGAGCCCACTCTCTCTCATGCTGCCTTCACTGTCTCTGCAGTGACTATGAAGATCTGTGAGAGGCTCACCTGAGGGCTCCAGGTCCTGGGACTGCTCCCAGGTTCCTATTGCATGGGATGGACAGTTTCTAGGGGCCATAGTTGTACCTAACCAGGACTGGGATATTGTATTCTGTAAGCCAAATGAGGAATAGTCTGATTGCTGTCCCAGGTGCTGATTTCCACCACTGCCAGCCCAGGGACAAGGGCTGTGAACATGGAGCTGTCCGCTGAGCTGATCCTTCTCAGACCAGTCTTTTTTCCCATTGGAAGGGTCTACTTCAAGTTGCCTGGGCTGTGGGATTTGCCACATGGTTTTAGACTTTGGAACATTAACTCGAATGACTTGCTGTTGATTGTTAGCTTGAAGTGGAGAGATTCTTTCAGGCAAGGAAGAACAAATCATACACTGCTGGGCCACTGAATATTTCTTCAAATGGAATGGAGGAGGGCCTGTTTCATCCTCAATGCCCTCACTGCTGGATTTCTTATAAAGTGTTCTCATAATTTTTCTAATGCCCAGATGAAATATTTCCAGTATGTTGAGTAACAAGGAAATGGCTGCAATGCTGTGCATAAAAAGCATGAAAATTGTCTTCTCAGTGGGCCTGGATACAAAGCAATCCACTGCATTGGGGCAAGGAGGTTGAGTGCATTTGTAAAGGGGGTGCATTTGAAACCCATAAAGGATATATTGGCCTATCATGAATCCTACTTCCAGTACAGATCTGGTCAAGATGTGTAAGACATAAGTACGCAGCAGACATCCTTTCAGAGGGACTTTATGGATCCTCTTCTGCTCCTCTAGCCTCCTCAGTTCCCTATCTATCCTTTGCTGCTCCTCCAAGTCAAGCTCTGGATTCTCCATCTGGGCTCTAAGGTGTGACTTTTTCCTCTGCCTCTCTTTCTCAAAGGCCCTGAGCCTATAAAGTGCATGGCCCATATAGACCAAAGAAGGAGAAGACACGAAGATGATCTGTAAAACCCAGAACCGGATCAAAGAGATAGGGAAGGCATCATCATAACAGATATTGTTGCAACCTGGCTGCCGGGTGTTGCAGGCAAATGCTGACTGTTCGTCATCCCAGACATCCTCAGCAGCCACACGAAGTACCAACATTCGGAAGATGAAAAGGATGGTCAGCCAGATTTTCCCCACTATGGTTGAGTGGGAGTGAACTTCCTCTAGGATGCCACCCAATAAGTTCCAATCCCCCATGGTTAAAGACTAATGTCTGAAATATACAGAAAACAGAGATTAATAGTACCCATGGTTGTAATATATAGACACAGACTCAAAAATATAGCAGGTTCTTTTGTATGTCTGCAAAACTATGAAGGATCTTCCAGCCCTAATATTTACAGCCCATGCTTAAAATAAGATATTTCTTAAGATATTAATTTTTGAAAAAACACTAAAGACCCCACCATTTCACCAAGTTTCCATCCTATCCTCTTTTACTCCCCCCACACAGATGCCTGTTATTCTAGTATACTAATAGGCCTCCGTATTTGCACAATTGATTCTAATTGCACCATTGTATTCATTTTTCTATCCATATGAGATGCTCTATTTACCATACATCTGACATGATCTTAAAGGAGTCTCAATTTCTCAGGAAGTATTCCCTAACCATCCCAAGTTGTAATTTTCCCATTCCAGAATTCTCACAACATTATTGTTAATACTATTCATCTGGGACTGTGCCTAAATGAGTTTTGTGATGGTTGTGGCTTATGTTCCCCTTCCTGGAAGTACCCTTGCAGATAGAGACTCTAAAGCATGTTGCTCATTGCACACAGAAGCCTTCAACATATAATAGTGAACAGAATTGTCTTTTCACTTTAAAATTCTGTTCCTTTACCCTATCACCAAAATAACCATCAACAGCCAAAATAAAGTAAATCCTCATGTTATGTTATACAGGGCTTTCACTGCAAGACAAAATATAGGTAAAGAAAATATAAATCAATCAAGTAAACCCTCAGGAACTGGCTCATATCAGGGTAGCAGCAAAGATTAGGCAGACACAGACACAATAACACATAATTACATCCATTAAGCCACATCTGGAACATCATGTTTTCCTGGAATTTTTGCTAACTTAGAAGAAAAGTGAATATAAACTGCTTCTCTAGCAAGCTTAGGATCTGGGAAACAATCCAGGTGTAGCTGACATGAACAGTTACTTCGTTTATCCCAAAAAGCTGGTGTTTTTCAAGGTTCAGTGAAAAAACTTAGTAGGTTAAAGTTTTCCAAGATGTGGAAGGCTTCTAGATAAAAAAGATATAGAGGAAAAATAGGAAAGCATTATTAAGTTAAAATAGATAATGAGGCCAGGCACGGTGACTTACACTTGTAATCCTAGCACTTTGGGAGGCCGAGGCGGGCAGATCACTTGAGGTCAGGAATTTGAGATTAGCCTGGCCAAATGGCAAAACCCTGTCTCTACTAACAATACAAAAATTAGCCAGGTGTGGTGGTGCACATCTGTAATCCCAGCTACTCAGGAGGCGAAGGCAGGAGAATTGCTTGAACCCAGGGTGGGGCAGAGATTGCAGTGAGCTGAGATCATGCCACTTCACTCCAGTCTGGGTGAAAGAGCAAAACTCTGTCTCAGAAAACAAAAAAAGACAATGAAACAATTATCCCCTTCCATAATTCATTCATTCAGTAATATTTGCTAACATCTTTCTATTGGCCAGGTGGAGTGGCTCATACCTGTAATCCCAACACATTGGGAGACTGAGGTGGGTGGATCACTTGAGGTCAGGGGTTCAAGACCAACCTGGCCAACATGGTGAAACTCCGTCTCTACTAAAAATACAAAACTTAGCTGAGCATGGTGGTGCATGCCTAAAATCCTAGCTACTCAGGAGTATGAGGCAGGAGAATTGCTTGAACCCAGGAGGCAGAGGTTGCAGTGAGCCAAGGCCTGGGAGACAAAGCAAGACTCTGTCTCAAAAAACAAAATAAAGAAACTCAAACGGCTATCGCCTAGGCATTGTTCTAGATGCCAGGAATTCAAATAACAGGATATATTTGGTCCCCAATCTCACAGTACTTGATCACTAAGGACTCCCACTTAATCTATAAAATGAACCAAGGCTGATAATACAAAAATGAATGTCAACCCCAAAAAAAATAAGAGAAAAAACTTGGAATCCTCAGATTTTTTTTCCTATTCCTCCCCCCCAAAAAAAAATTGATTCCAGATAGAACAAAATATTAATTATAAAAAAGTAAGCCATAAAAGTATTAAAATAAATTATAAAATAATATGTTTTGTGACCTTGAAGTAGAAGGCTTTTTAAGCACATCAGTGCCAGAAATTATAATTAGAAAAAGTATAGATTCTAGCTGGCATGGTGACTCATTCCTGTATTCCCAGAACTTTAGGAGGTGGAGGTGGGAGGACTGTTTGAACCCAGGAGTTACAGACCAAGCTAAGCAATATAGCGAGGCCCTTGTCCCTACAAAAAATAAATGTAAAAAGTTGGCCAGGCACAATGGTGAGTGCCTATAGACCTAGCTACTTGGGAGGCTGACATGGGAGGATCACTTGAGCCCAGGAGTTTGAAGCTACAATGAGTCATGATTGCACTACTGCAGTCCAGCCTGGGTGACAGAGTGAGACTCTTCCTCAAAAAAAAAAACAAAAAACAACAAAAAAACAGATTCTATCAGCAAAACTGAATGGTAAAGGTGGAGATATCCAAAGGCATCTGGGTCTAGAGAATAACAACAACAAAAATGGTACAAAAAGGAGATACACTAAATAGGTAGAAAGGATCACTCAAAGACAAAAAGAAAAAGTAAGACAATGACAGAAGGGAATAACACAGGGGAAAAAAGAATCTACAGATAAACATGAGAAATGGCCAAGGAGAGAGAGGAGGAAAACCATGAGGATGGTGTCTCTGAAACCAAAGCAGAGTTTCAAGAAGGGGAATAGTTGACAAAGCCAAATACACACACACACACACACACACACACACCACTATTTAAATAAATTTAATTTAATGGTGATATACCATGCTCAAGGATTGAAAATTGCAATATAGGTAAAGATGTCAATTCTCCCCCAAATTAACTAATCCAAAGGTTCAGTGTGAAATTGTAAATCACTAAGTAAAACAAAACTATAAATGTACATGTATATGTATGCACATATCCATGAGATGTATATGTATATGATTTTATTGAGAATGAAGAAAAAAATGCAGAAGGATACACACCAGGAATTCGTATAGGTTACCTGAGGTCTACTGAATGTGATGAGAGTGGAGAGAAAGTTAAGGTGGATAAAAGAGAGGCAAAAAAGAGAAAGGAAAGGAAAAAAGAGTTCTAAGAAAGCATGACTGATTTTTTATCAAAAGTGTACATTATGTAAATTTTTACCTGTATGTACATATATAAATATAAATAAATTTTTAATAAAATTGAAAAAGTGGTAGATAATCTCAGAATTTGGAAGAGTTATTAGTAAGACTTTTATAATTTACTCAATGTACTTGTGAATTGTTTGAAATTCAAAAATTAAGAATGCAGCCATTTATATTACTTGCAAATAAAAATCAGATATTAAAATTCAGGACTCATATCTCATTAACCAAAAGCAATAATTTACTAAATTCTATCCTGTCTTAAAGAGTTTTGGTATTTTTCCATAATTATTTTCTTAAAAAATTCTAGTTATTATTCTTTATTTTACAAACGGATTTCCTCTGCAGGTAGATAACTGGAAAAATAAATAAATAAAGGATTTCTTTAGCACTTTAAAAAAAACCTATAGCTTCTATTTTCTGTAGAAACCCAGAGGTGGGAAAGCTAACTCATGTCAATTTTACTCCTGTTTGGCAGTGTTAAGCTATATAATACTTCTTTTTGCCACTGTGTCTTTAAAGTGTGGAAATTATTCTTTTTAAATAGCAAGTAAAGGAAAACTGAGCTTAACCTATATGAAAAACAGAAATACAATCTTACATATTAAAATACAAGACATTTTTTCCTTTAGACAACCAGTCCATTTTCTAAAAATAACTATTTCTTACCACTAAATTAGTGTGGGTCTTAGAAATATTCTTGAATTTTCTTTTATTTATCAAATACAAATTTAGCACCTCCTATGTAAAAAGCTGATGGTCCTTTTCATCATATTATTTCAGATCTTGTCTTTCTACCCCCACAAGGAGTTTCTATATATTTCTCATAAACAAGAGAGTCCACATATTTACTACTTACCTTATGGGTGAACAAAAAAATCACGATTGGGTTCTCAGAACCTTAAAGTTGCACTGTGTGTGGCTCATTAGTGGAAAAATTGCTGCTGGTTGCAGATATAAAGGCTCTGATCAGGTGGCTGTGGGGCCCTAATCCAGAATGAGCACAGTTATTTTGATCAATGGAGTCTAACCTAGTCCTCCCCCAAGGTTCAAAATGTCCTCTGGTGCTTTGCAATTTTCTTACAGTATTTTTATTTAATTGATACCAAGCTGGGACCTCTCCTGGTGTATCATATTTGGAAATGGAAAGTGAAACAAATGAGAATTTTCGTTTTGCATTGGTGAATGCATACAGTAATTTAAGTTCGGGCACATTTCTTTCAGTCTGTTGATTGTTCTAGGAATCGATGTTCACAGATCAATGAGTCATGTCCGATTTCATAAACAGCTGCCTGGGGTGAGTCTGGCCTCATAAATGTGAACAAATAATAATGGAGTGGAAATCAAACCTAAAGTGTTATTGCAAATCATGCCATGCTTGAAAGAAGTAACATCTCAAAAAGAGAATAAACATATGTAGAGTTGGATGTGATGGTTCATGCCTATAATACCAGCACTTTGGGAGGCCAAGGCGGGAGGATTGCTTGAGGCCAGCAGTTGGAGACCAGCCTGAGTAACATTATGAGACCCCCATCGTTACAAATAATAATAACAATTAACAGGACATTGTGATGCATCCCTGTAGTCTTAGCTACTCAGGAGACTGAGGAGGAAAGATAACTTTAGCCCAGGAGTTCAAGGCTGCAGTGAGCTATGATTGCACCACCCGTTCCAGCCTAGGTGACAAAGCAAGACTCTCAAAAGAAAAGAAAAGAAGGCCAGCATGCAGTGGCTCATGCCTGTAATCCCAGCACTTTGGGAGGGTGCAAGCAGATCGCTGGAGCCCAGGAGTTTGAGACTACCCTGAGCAACACTGCAAAACCCTGTCTCTACAAAACAATACAAAAATTATCTGGGCATGGCGGTGTGCACCTGTAGTTCCAGCTACTTGGGAGGCTGAGGTGAGAGGATCGCTTGAGCCCAGGAGGTGGAGGCTTCACTGAGCTAAGATCGTAATACTGCACTCCAACCTGGGCAACAGAGCAAGACTCCGTCTCAAAAAAAAAAAAGAAGCCGGGCGAGGTGGCTCACGCCTGTAATCCCAGCACTTTGGGAGGCCGAGGCGGGTGGATCACGAGGTCAAGAGATCGAGACCATCCTGGTCAACATGGTGAAACCCCGTCTCTACTAAAAATACAAAAAATCAGCTGGGCATGGTGGCGCGTGCCTGTAATCCCAGCTACTCAGGAGGCTGAGGCAGGAGAATTGCCTGAACCCAGGAGGCGGAGGTTGTGGTGAGCCGAGATCGCGCCATTGCACTCCAGCCTGGGTAACAAGAGCGAAACTACGTCTCAAACAAAAAAAAAAAAAAAAAAAAAAAAAAAGAAAAGAAAAGAAAAATAGGAAAGAAAAAATATAAACCTCCCCCTCCCCCTCTCCTCCTCCTCCTACTTCCTCTTCTTTCCCCTCCCCTTCCTCCTCTTCCTCCTGCTTGGACCTGGAGGGTTCCCGAGGGTGGTGCCGCTGGGTACCGGTGCTGCACAGCCTGCTCCCTAGATGCAGACACCCACACAGTCAAACCCTACAGACTCCATCTTCCAGGAAGGTCCACAGCTAGCAGCCACCTGCCTCCCAGGCCCCAGCACAGGACACGCGGGGTGCGAGGCCACACAGCGCCAGACCCTCCACCGGGCCGCGAATGGCACGGAGCTGCCTCGAGGTGAGCAGGGGCGTGGGGGCCGGAGGGTGTGCAGACGTCCTGGAGGCTGAGGGCTGCCCCTCAGAAGCTGGTGCTCATCGGAACTTGCTGCTGGCCCGAGTCGCTCCCCTGGCTCCCTTCTCTGGGTGGAACTTCACGTGGATCTGATTGCGCAGCACAGCTGCCCTCAGTATCCAGCCTTTGGCGCCGTGCTGAAACTCCCTGCCCATCCGCAGAGACTTCTAGAAGGTGGTGCTGCGCTAATCCACATCCTGGACATCCAGGATCTTGCTGTGCGAGTCCACTGGAGTGCTGATCAGCCCCTCCCGGATCCGCTGCGTCAGCCCACCTTCCCGGGCTGCCACTGTGGGGCTCAGGGCACTGCCACCCCTGTGCGTGTTGAGGGCGCGGCTGCGAATCTGGGCCTACAAGGTCCTGACGGTTCGGTGGGGGGAGGGCAGTGGGGGAGGCACACATGTCCGAGAGCAGATTGTCCTACGTCTCCTTTTGTGTGTGTGTGTGTGTGTGTGTGTGTGTGTGTGTGTGTGTGTGTGTGACAGAGTCTCACTTTTTTTTTTTTTTAATCGTATTTAGGTTCTAGGGTACATGTGCAGATCATGCAGGATTGTTGCATAGGTACACACATGGCAGTGTGGTTTGCTGCCTCCATCCCCCGCCCCCCCCCCGACATCTGGCATTTCTCCCCATGTTATCCCTCCCCTACCTCCCCAACCCTCCGCAGTCCCTCCCTTGGCCCCCCCAACAGACCCCAGTGTGTGATGTTCCCTTCCCTGTATCCATGTGTTCTCATTGTTCAACACCCGCCTATGAGTGAGAACATGCGGTGTTTGATTCTTGTGTCAGTTTGCTGAGAATGATGGTTTCCAGATTCATCCATGTCCCTACAAAGGACACGAACTCATTTTTTTATGGCTGCATAGTATTCCATGGTGTTTGTGTGCCACATTTTCCTTGTCCAGTCTGTCGTCGATGAGCATGTGGGTTGGTTCCAGGTCTTTGCTATTGTAAACAGTGCCGCAGTGAACATACGTGTGCATGTGTCTTTTTGATAGAACGATTTATAATTCTTTGGGTATATACCCAGTAATGGCATGGCTGGGTCAAAAGGAATTTCTATTTCTAGGTCCTTAAGGAATCGCCACACTGTCTTCCACAATGGTTGAACTAGTTTACACTCCCACCAACAGTGTAAAAGCGTTCCTATTTCTCCACAACCTCCCCAGCATCTATTGTCTCCAGATTTTAATGATCACCGTTCTAACTGGTGTGAGGTAGTATCTCGATGTGGTTTTGATTTGCATTTCTCTAATAATCAGTGATGATTAGTGTTTTTTCATATGTTTGTTGGCCTCATGTATGTCTTCTTTTGAAAAGTGTTATATCCAGGCCGGGCGCGGTGGCTCACGCCTGTAATCCCAGCACTTTGGGAGGCCAAGGCGGGTGGATCATGAGGTCAAGAGATCGAGACCATCCTGCTCAACATGGTGAAACCCCGTCCCTACTAAAAATACAAAAAATCAGCTGGGCATGGTGGCGCGTGCCTGTAATCCCAGCTACTCAGGAGGCTGAGGCAGGGGAATTGCCTGCACCCAGGAGGCGGAGGTTGCGGTGAGCCGAGATCGCGCCATTGCACTCCAGCCAGGGTAACAAGAGCGAAACTCTGTCTCAGAAAAAAAAAAAAAAAAAAAAAAAGGAAAAGTGTTATATCCTTTTCCCACTTTTGGATGGGTTTGTTTGTTGTTTTCTTGTAAATCTGTTTAAGTTCTTTGTAGATTCTGGATATTAGCCCTTTGTCAGATGGGTAGATTGCAAAAATTTCTTCCCGTTCTGTTGGTTGCTGGTTCACTCTAATGTTGGTTTCTTTTGCTGTACAGAAGCTGTGGAGTTTAATTAGGTCCCATTTGTCTATTTTGGCTTTTGTTGGCAATACTTTTGGTGTTTTAGTCATGAAGTCCTTGCCTATGCCCATGTCCTGAATGGTTTTGCCTAGGTTTTCTTCTAGGGTTTTTATGGTATTAGGTCTTTAATTTAAGTCTTTAATGCATCTGGAATTAATTTTAGTGTATTTGTATCCCAGACTGGAGTGCCAGGCTGGAGTGCAGCGGTGCCATCTTGGCTCACTGCAACCTCTGCTGGGATTACAGGCGTGCAACACCACGCCCAGCTCATTTTTTGTTTTTAGTAGAGACAGGGTTTCACCATCTTGGTTGGCCAGGCTGGTCTCGAACTCCTGGCCTCAGGTGATCCACCCACCTTGGCCTCCCAAAGTGCTGGGATTACAAGCGTGAGCCACCTTATCTGGTTGAGGTTGATTATTTGTAATTCAATTTTACCTCCCTTAACTTTATTGTTGTCTGAATTTACCTTAGAGATTACACATACATCCTTTACTTATCAATGTTTAATGTTCTGCCTCTGATGAAATGCATTCAAGGTATTACATTCATTACTTTTCAGGTGACTTTTAACCTAATGCTATACAAATACACTTATTAATACATCATATGTTTTTACCTCTAGTTAATTCTGACAGACAATTTGTACTCTGGGCTGATGTGCCAGGCTAGTGGGATTTTAATGTCACCTGTCTACCTTTCATTATCATCCTTTTTAAAAACTACATGACCGAAAATAGAATAGGCAGGTGATACTGATGAACTACCAGTAATTTTGTGCACTTCTACATTTTATATGGAAAAGAGCAGGCTTACAAATGTGCCTTAGAGCTGTGATCTGAAACCCTCATTAGGTTCTAGTGATGCCCTTGCAGTCAACACCTCTAAGATGGCACTCAGATTATGTGCCTGAGAGGTGACTAGTGGAAGATGCTGTACATTGAGAGTTTGGAGTCCTGGCCTGTTGGCACTGGGCAGGCGGATCACAAGGTCAGGAGATCGAGACCAGCCTGGCTAACATGGTGAAACCACATCTCTACTAAAAAATACAAAAAAAAATAGCTGGGCGTGGTGACACATACCTGTAGTCCCAGCTACTCAGGAGGCTGAGGCAGGAGAATCTCTTGAACCCAGGAGGCAGAGATTGCTGTGAGCCAAAATCTTGCCACTGCAGTCCAGCCTGGATGACAGAACGAGACTCCATCTCAAAAAAAAAAAAAAAAAAAGAAAGAAAAAATGGAAGTCAATCTCACACACACAAAAAAACAGCAGAATATCCTAAATAAAACATTAGTAAACTACATCCAGCAATATGTTTATATATATATAATACATTACTTCAAAGTTGTGTTTATTATTGTGTTGACAAGGAGTTTTAAGAAAATAAGGAGGCTGGGTGCAGCAGCTCATGCCTGTAATCCCAGCACTTTGGGAGGCCAAGGTGGGTGGATCACCAGAGGCCTGGAGTTCGAGACCAGCCTGGCCAATATGGTGAAACCCTGTCTCTACTAAAACTACAAAAAATTAGCCAGGCATGGTGGTGGGCACCTGTAATCCCAGCTAGTCAGGAGGCTGAAGAAGGAGAATCACTTGAACCCGGGGGACAGAGATTTCAGTGAGCTGAGATCACAGCATTGCATTCCAGCCTGGACAACAAGAGCAAAATTCCATCTCAAATAAATAAATAAATAAAGTAAAAATAAAATTAAGTTTATTCTGAAACTGCAAGGTTTAATTTTTAATGATTTAATTTACCATATTTAATAAAGGGGGAAATAAATAAGTTTTTTTTTTTTTTTTTTTTTTTTTTTTTGAGCTGGAGTCTCACTGTCACCCAGGCAGAGTACAGTGCCACAATCTCGGCTCACTATAGCCT